TATAGACCCGAGTTTGAATCCATAAGGATTCAAAGGGGGGGGGGAATATATATATATGTTCCTTTTCAAATCCTTCCTTTGTTGTGGACCGTACATTAAACCACCTTTTTTGGGACATCTGGAGAAATCAATTGAGCCTCTTCAAGAAGTTAGGGGGATCGAGACAGGACGCGCCTAACGGGGGGGGGGCTCAGGAGATTTAGGAAGTCTCAATCGGGAGCTCAACGTGCCTGGGTAATCATGTACTGGTGCTTTAAGAGGATCTACCCTGTGGGACAGTTTGAAATCCTTTTTTTGTTCTTAAGGGGAGGAGGAGGGGGAGGGGGAGGGGGAACAGTTTGCAATCCATTTCTTTTATTGGTGAGGTCTGGAACTGGTGGAACAGCCTGGCAATGATGAGGAACTGGATTTTTTTCGAACACAAGGAATCGTAATTAATCAGTGATCACGTGGGACCGAGATTTTGTGTTGGATTTGGGACCAAGATTTTGTGTTGGATGGATGGCAATCTGCAATGCAACATTTAAAAATAATAATAATAATAAAGAAAAATTAGAGAAAATAAAAAAGAACTGCTATTGAACAACATCACAGAAGGAAAGCCAAAACAAAACGTTGATAGAAGGAAGAAGCTGAATGTGGGCGCAAGATTTCCAATCAGCGCGTCAACATCCGCGTCATCGGACGTCGCTCCACTACACAGGGCTCTACATGCATTTGGACGCTTTCTGGACCCGGTGCAGACGACTCCAACATCTCGAATGTATCGGGTCCAGAAAGCGTCCAAATGCATGTAGAGCGCTGTTTAGTGGAGCGAGGCCAATCAGCCGCATATGCGGTTGAGCGGGAAGTGCCCATCACACCCGTCTTCTGGGGGGGGGGAAGGGAGGAACCAGCTCTCGTATCCTCCGGGGTAAAATTGGAATTACTTTTTTGTCATACAGTAAAAAAATAACAGAGTAATATCTGATCCGTGGTCCATCGGGAACCAAAAAAAAAAAAACAGAGTAATTACAGTCACTACGACCTTGTCCATCAAGCGGACGCGGATGAGGTGGAATGATGACCAGGATGATGATGATGACGACAATGATGATGATGATGATGATGATGATGACGACGTAGATGCTCGTAATCTACGGCTGGAAGCACACAACCCGGCGGCCAAGCTGGTTAGGTTCATCTTTACCCAGGTGTAGACCAGGTGCAGACCAGATAATCGGCGGAGTGCTCATCCTCCCCTCTGCAGGTAGTCGATCAAGAGTCATCACACCTCCAAGTGCGATTAAAATGTAATCCTCCGTTTTATGTATATATCGTCACAAACAGAACTGCCCGGTAAACCGTAGGCAGAGAGAGAGAAGAGGACAACAAACGAGGGGCTGTGACAAATACATATACCGTCATAGCCTCATACATATATATCGTCAAACAGAGGAGCTGGCCGGTAAACCGTAGTAGGCAGAGAGGAGAGGGAGGGAGGGAGAAGAGGACAACAAACGAACGAGGGGCGGCTGTGACAAACTGTTTGGTCGGACTGTTTCACCTACCTACTTATCAATCAGTAGAGGCTGAACCCTCAACAAACAGTCTGCAGAATCCCCTACCGGTAGTAACTGACTGATTACACCGTAAGTGATAATTCACCTAAACTCCGGTCGGTGGTGGTATCAACGACTGCCCGACAGCGGATGATACCCTCCTGAGGTGGTGGGGACCACCAACCACTGCGGCCGTCAAGGTTACCTGTGACGAATATGAATTTGAAAGTAGACTATCACTCACCCACACCAGATGGAAAACACGACAGATTGTCCTTGTTCAGACTGTCGGTGGAAAAAACTTGTTTGTCCTTGTGGGGACCACCAACCACTTATACAGACTGTCGGTTGACAACCCATCAGGTAAAATGGACTCTGGATAAGTCCTTGTACTAACATTTCAGGGGCAGCATAAAAAAAATAAAGGAAAAAAAAACTTTAAAAAGAGAAAAAAAAAGCTGGAAGAAAAAAGGAAGATCCTTCAGTTGGATCGTCGATCTCGAGGATCAACGGCTGGAAGCGAAGAATCTGGACAGGGCGGATGTCTAAGTGAGACCTCGGCTGTTCCAGGGAATTTGAATTTGTGTATTAAATTGAATAGCCCGTTTTTCTTTTTCATTTCACGCTCGAAAGGACAAAAATAGCCCTGTGAGGGAAAAAAATGCACCTTCCTGACCCTGCCAGATCGTCTCCCCTCCCCCAACCCCGCCCCCCCGGGGCACCTGCATGTTTTATATGGGGGCGAAGTAAACCCCTTTTTTTTCAAAAATAAATAAAAATGAACTCCTTTTTCTTTGACTTACTGTATGTGCTTTTTTTGTCGAAGGAGATAAATAGAAAAGAAACAGGATTTTTTATTTTTATTTTTCCCCAAAATACCCTCGCCAATGGGAGATCTGAAGCCCTATATTTATTTTATTCTGTTCATCTGATGTTCATCTCATGTTCATCTGATCTCATCTGGATTTGAACTTGGGTGGGTCTCTATTTCAACAGTCCATCATTCGTTTACCAACTGAGTTAAAAAAGACTAACTGAGTTAAAAAAGACTAACTGACCCAAGAGCCTGGCTCAGAGGGTACACCCATGAACAGTTTTTTTTTTTTTTAAATACAGACCCGAGTTCGAATCCAGATGATGGAACTCGATGAGTAAAACCAAACATTAAAAAAAGAAAAAAGAAAAAAAAAGACCAACTGGTGAAGCCCTTTCTTTGACTTCCGGGCCGAGGTCCCACTACCTTCTTCCCCCCAATAGAACGTACTTATTACTGTCCTGATAGCTATATTTAGACTGAAAGATACCCCAAATACACAGCTATAATGACCGTACGTTGTATTCGGGGGAAGAAGGTAGCAAAAAGCGGATTGGATGAAGCACCTGAATCGGGACGTGTTTTGCACAGAGATTCAGAAAAGCATATCAATCGCATATTTCTGCACCTCTCCACAAACGCGTCCAGATTCAGGCGTTAAATCCAATCCTCTTTGCTAGTGGGACCTCGCCCCCGTGTTTTTGGGTTGACGGAGCGAATTAGAAAGTCGAAATTGTAAAAATAGCCCGTTTCTGTAAGTTCGAAAGGACGATTTTTATTATTATTATTATTATTATTATTATTATTATTATTATTATTATTATTATTACTGTCTTTTTTTTTCTTTTTTTTTTTCCCTCTTCATGTGAAGAACGAAAGGACGAATCTAGCCCGGTGAGAAAGAATAATGCACCTTCCGGACCCTGCAGATCGTGCCCCTGGGGCACCTGCATGTTTTATATGGGGGCGAAGTAAACCCCTTTTTTTTTTTTTTTACTTTCGCGCGTTTTTTGTTGAAGGACATAAAAAATAGGAAAACAAAGAAAAGAAAAGAAAAGAAAAAAATCCAAAATAGTCCCCCTTTTTATGCTCGAAAGGACAAAAATAGCCCGACCGGGGACAATGCACCTCCTTGGCATGAAGATCGTTTATTTTAACATTTGCAGATCCGAGGGCGAGGTCCCCCTTCCCCGGGTACCGTCCCGTTTCCCTCTTTACACGGATCCTTCATTTCTGGATATCGATCTATCAATATATATAATAATTTTATATGATATATAAATAAATGGAAATCGATCGATCGATCTATCAATTCTCTCAAATTCACCATTTTTTTTTATTATTCTAATCGATCGATCTTGGTGATCTTGGGTCCTGCTTACAATTTGTACACAATCGGTCCGCAGCTCAATTCATCACTTTTTTTATTTTTTTAAATGGATCACGTCCATATCATTATATGTTATTCGTTATATATCGTCACAAACAGAACTGCCCGGTAAACCGTAGGCAGAGAGAGAGAAGAGGACAACAAACGAGGGGCTGTGACAAACTGTTTCGTCGGAGTTTCACCGACTCATCAGGAGGCTGAACCCTCAACAGTCTGCAGAATCCCCTCACTGATTACACTGTAAATGATAATCTACCTTAACCAAAATCAAAGTAGACTATCACTCACCCACACCAGATGGAAAACTCTACAGACTGTCGGTTCACACCCCATCACAAGCCAGCAAAACATCCACGAAACAAAGAAAGGTCTGTCACAGCCAAAAAATACACTCCAGACACGCCGCTGGCACTAGAGGCACAGCATGGCCGCCTAGTAACGGCCCCGACCACTGCCGCTCGACCTGTATCGTCAAACAGAACAGATATATACTCTGTTTGACGATATATAGGGTTCAGCCTCCTGATCAATCAGTCGGTGAAACTCCGACGAAACAGTTTGTCACAGCCCCTCGTTTCTTGTCCTCTTCTCCCTTCTCCCTCTCTGCCCCCTACGGTTTACCGGGCAACTCTGTTTGACTACATATATATATCGTCAAATATATATAACATATATATCGTCACAAAGATATCAGAGCGCAAAAGCGAAAAAAAAAAAGAAAAAAAAGGAGGAAAAAAAAGGAGGAAAAAAAAGGAGAAAAAAAAGGAGAAAAAAAAGGAGGAAAAAAAAGGAGGAAAAAAAAGGAGGAAAAAAAGGAGAAAAAAAAGGAGAAAAAAAACAGGGAGAACAAAAAAAGGAGAACAAAAAAAGGAGAACAAAAAAAGGAGAAAAAAAAAAGGAGAACAAAAAAGGAGAAAAAAAAAGGAGAAAAAAAAGGAGGAAAAAAAAGGAGAAAAATAAAGGAGAAAAAAACCAATATATATACCGGACAGCTCTGTTCTTTTTTCTTTTTTTTTCTTTTTTTTTTGACAGCTTTGTTTGACGATATACTATTACAACAGTAATACAATTATAAATAAAAATAAATAAATAAAACCCATCTACCTGATGAATGCCCGGCACAGTTGTCATCAACTCCCTTAGCCGAGCCACCTTCCGAGCGCGATCCACTAAAGCAGGGAACAGAGGGATCCCGACCGTCGCCCCTTCCGAAGGTCTGGCCCCCGTATCATCAACCCCGGCAGAGCGATCCCGACCGTCCATCATCCCGCTACTACTAGTAGCGGCTGCCATTACCATGATCGTCTTCTTCCTTGAGCTTGCCCAGTAATAATTAGCGGAGGACGTGATGAGGAAGTCATCATCTGCAGATGACTTCCTCAGACTCGTCGCCCTCCTCCTCCACGCCATCGCCGCCATCGCCGCCATAGCCGTTCTTTTTTCTCCTTCCCCCCATAACTTGGTGGTCGAGAACGTGGAAGACGACTGCCATATCTTCCCTCCTGCTCCGAGAGGACCTTCTCTCCGCCTTCCTCGTCGTCTTCGTCCATCGAGCGGCAGCCATGGTGGCGAGTGTGCGACAGCTTGCGACACCGGTGTGCCACACACCGAAGCCGAAGCCGAAGCCGAAGCCGATCTCTCGGCGAACCTCAGCATCGAGCTAATCCCTCCAATGGAAGGCGATGACATCGTCATTATCGACATTGCCGCGACGGCAGATCCCGACGTTGCCACGTTCCCAGATGCTGCTCAGGCTGGCGACGCTCCACGTAAGCAGCGCAAAAAAAAGAAAATTGCTGACCTCGTCGACGTTGAGGCGGGGCCCTAATCTCCACAACACAACACAACAAACGAACTGATGGCAAGCACCCCTACTACTGCTACTACTGTTACTGCTGAACTACGCTACGATCGGTTGTACTACGCTACGACCGGTTTTACTACGCTACGACCGCTTGTACTACTAACCCCTGCTACTGCTGCGACTACCGTCGCTGCAACGAGCCCTGGGAACAAAACCCACCGCTAACCACAGGCTTGAACCCACAGCTATTCGTCCGATGCCTCGCCCTTGGTTGTGTGTTTTCCATGTTCTATTTACTGGTCTGCCCCAAATAGGACGTACGGGCATTATAGCTGTACTGTACTATATTTGGGGAACACTCAGTCTACATACGACAGCACGTTGTATAACTTCGTTCTTGTGTTCGCCTGATCGAGCGAATGGGCCTCGCTGCACTATCTCGAAATGTGCAAAACGAGAGCGAATCTTCCCGTAGAATATGGAAAGATACACCGCCATGATTTTTGTCTTTTGTGCATGTCGAGAGTAGTGGAGCGAGGCCCAATGTTACGTGTTTTTCTTTTTTTTTCTTTTCTTTTTCTTTTTTTTGTAGATTAATTTGCGAAATAACCCTATCAGTTGGGATATATGCCAAAATGCCCCTATAAGATGTGGGTAGAGCGGAATACCCCTCTGAGACATAAAAAGGTTTTGCGAAATGCCCCTGGCGTCGGTTGGACCTGTATCTTTGCAAAATACCCCTACCCGTTACTGTCAATGTTTGCGAAGTGTCCTGATAGTTGCCAACTTTTCTCAAGCCCTCTTATTTTCGTTTTACACCTAGTGGCCCAGGTGATCTTTGTGTTTTGCCCCCTCGCTGTGTTTCTGCCTATGTGTGTGTGTGTGTGTGTGTGTGTGTGTGTGAGAGCGAGAGAGATGGGAAGCGGGATAGTGGCGCGGGATAGAGGGATAGCGGGAAAGTGGGATAGCCGCTAGCGGGAGTGGCGCCCGGCCGGGGGGAGAGAGAGAGAGAGAGAGAGAGAGAGAGAGAGGCTACTTCCATCGATAGGATGAGCAAAACAGGAATGAATCTTCCAGTAGAAATAAATATATACACTTTTTTTTTTTTTAATTTAGACTATTTCTCAATTTATGCGTGTCATCCTTGCGTAGGGGTCATGCTAATCTTCTCTGTATCGTTCCAATTTTAACGGATGTCCCGAAGGACTACACACTGCTTTCCAACTGTGAGCGCACAGAGATAGAGAGGGGCTACTTCCACCCACAGGATGAGCAAAATGGGAATAAATCTTATGGAAATATACATTGCCACTTTTTTTTTACCTTTTTTTTTTCGCATATAGCAAATATGACAACACACAGATAAGTGCGACTGTGTAGATTTCCATGTTCTCGCGGTCGATTCATTCGATTTAGCTCATCCTATCGATGGAAGTAGCATGCAGCCAGCCGCGGGGTTGGAGACTTACCTGTTGGCCAGCGTGTTGCTCATCCTGTCGATTGAAAACTCTCTCTCTCTCTCTCTCTCTCTCTCTCTCTCTCTCTCTCTCTCTCTCTCTCTCTCTCTCTCTCTCTCTCTCTCTCTCTCTCTCTCTCTCTCTCTCTCGCGCGCGCGCGCGCGCGCGCGCGTTCATATACACACAACAGGGAGGAAGATGAATGAAGTTGTCGAACATGGAGGCAAACTGCCCCGTTGACGGGCCTGCGTACCCACTGGTATGGAGGGCAGACTAGTTAAAACAAGGTGTAGGCCTTGTCCCCAACGATGCGGTCCAAAATGCAAATTTGCACATGGGCCTAACAGGGGCGAAACGAAAAGAATTAGGCCCAAAAGGGCATTCCACTCTACCTACATCTTTTAGGGGCATTTTGACACATATCTCAACTTATAGGGGTATTTCGTTTTTTTTTAATATAATTTGTACATTCCGTTTTTTTTTTTTTTTTTTTTTTTTAAGTCCAGGGTGTTGTAGAGGCTAGCCTGAGTCACTGAGTGCACAGTGATCACCTGGAGTTGTGAGTCACGGGTGTCCTGGAATATGAGACTACCTCTCATCCCATTCTCACGTCAATACTCCTAGCGCACCCCCTATCCCACTATCCTACCTCAGTGTGATCAGCACTCATGACCATTGCCCTAGCAATGGGCAAGCAACGTGGACAAAACAACAGTGATAGGCACTAGGGCTGATAGGTTGGTGGAAGCGGAATCAGGCGAGCCTTGTCGAACAAGAATTTTGGACGCAAGGCCGACAATTTACTACAGGCCCCAAGAGATTATGGACCCTAGGTTCAGACACGGTAACACCCACTGAGGCAGTCTTACCGTCCTTCCCCTAGCTTACCCAAGTCCAGGCGAAACTCGGACTGGCCTGAGCGACTTAATTCCCTACCCTTACCCTAGGGTCTAAGCCTTATATATAGCCACCAAAAAGTTTTATCCGAATGTCAGTAGGAACCACACCCAATGGCACCCTATCCAACCTACTTGAACCTATTGTAGATACTAGACCCCACCCAGTGACTACACCCCCCCAGCTTGATATTATAGTTATAGGTATGCACACACCCGGAAACTTGTGTATGTAGCCCGTAGGCGATGTGTAGTTCGCAAGCTATGTGTATACCCAAAGATTGTGTATGTTTTGTGGATCTATGTATCGAGATGTATAAACAGCATCATGTGTGGAAACTTATGCATATAGCCCATAGGCTATCAGACAGTTCTATCGAAATATCAATAGGAACCATACCCAATAGCACTCTATCCAACCTACCTGAACCTACTGCAGATACTAAACCCCACCCAGTGACTCAAGCTATGTGTATATCCAATGCCCGATGTGTGTGCTCTGTGAATCTGCGTATCGAGATGTACAGACAGCATTATGTGTGTATATCGAGGAAAAAATGGGGCAAGCTGGACAAGGACTCCCCTCAAGGCCCGAACGAAACTCGAACTTGTGACAATGTAACATGTAATCAAATGACTCTACTGTGTGAACAATTATCGGAAATGGCACGAACGTGTGATATGCCAAACTGGGGAGATCAAAACACCCAAAACGAACACCTCAAAACAACCTCTGCGGAACCCATAACCAATATACAACATTGTGAACTACCTTTGGGTGGTGTGCAGACAATGTCTTGAATAGTACCACGCATCAGCCCAAGGGGGTGTATGTCCAGTCGTGCGTCAATCTAACGCTCTGCAGGTGTCCATGCGCAAGGCTGCAGGGTTTTAAACCCGCAATCTTATATCACAATGCGCATTTCCAACCGGTGCTCTAACCACTAAGCTACATCAACTTCGTTTTTTTTTTGTCTTCAGTATCGTATGTTTTTTTTTTTTTTTTAACTGCACTATGTTTTTCTCTCAATTTTGTTTTGCCTTTCACTACCTTCCTACCGATACTCCTAAGACTATATAGAGGGGACCCCTGCAAGCATAGGTTCTCACAAACGAGGTAAATCATGTTACCCTCCACCCCAATAGCGGTAGTCAAAGATGGGGTGGGGCTACCGGTGGGGGTCCAGCTAACGCAAAACTGTCGTGTTTGTATCCTTTTTTTTTTTTTTTTTTTTTTTCTTTCCTTGATAAACAAGTACCTTTCAATTACATTCGTGGCAGTGTTAGTCGGGCCCCCACTGACGACCCCAACCCTTCAACCTAAACCACTAGGGCAAGGGGCAAACATGCAATTATACTTCCCTCCACCGAGAGAGGTGACCTTCTTTCACCGAAGAGAGGTAGAAAGCTATCCTTGCGGGGATCCCTGTACAGCCTTAGGCGTAGTGATAGGTAGGTTGTGAAAGATGAAAAGATATGTTAAATGACATGACAGAATTCTACCAATTAAAATTTGAGAGAAAAATACATATAAAGTTGTCCCCGTCAGAAAAAAGGCAAGAAAAGGTAAAAGAGTTTAGTGTGATATTCACGAATTGGCAAACACACAGTATGATATCCACAAAATGGCAAACACACAGCGAGACAATTCATGCAAATGAATACAAAGAAGTTCATGCAGATAAACACAAAAGTTAATGCAGATAAACACAAAATTCATACAAATGAACACAAAGATTCTACAACCTCGTCGTCACAGACACCAAACAATGCTTCAAAAATGTTGAAAACCATGTCGTGAAGTGCGCGAAATCCAAAGTGTGCGGGCATGAGAACTCGGGACATCCTACACACGTGAAACGTCTACGTTTCGGTACTGGAAGAGGTCTCATCCAGTCTCTAAACTAATATTAATAGGTTTTGTTGTCTACTCACTTCTTACTGACTTCAACCATTGTCCGCCAACCCAATCTGGTCAGAACCATTCTAATCCTACGGTCAGACAGACAATAACCCTTTACTTACGGAAAAGACAAAAAGTGTTGAAAAAATGCAAAACAAAACTGACAAGGTTGAAAAGCTCAGAAAACCCAAAGTCAAAGTATATGGTTCGAGCCGTAGGCCTGATGTTGAAGGTCACCTGTCATGCAACATGCGTCCAGTCAGGGGCACTTAGTCTGACAAAGCGTCATAGCGTGTGTTAAAAAAGATCCGTGGACAAAGACTATTTTTGTAATCTGCGATTCGGCAAGAGCAGCCTTTCTCTCACCCTTTCTCCATACATCGTACATTCTTGGATTTTATGCAACATCCTGTTTATCAGTCAAATTGAGGCTAGAAGATAACTGTTTCGACTTAAAAAACAAAAAACTAAAAACTAAAAAATATATATATTTCTACTTTTTTTTTTTTTTTTTTTAATGACATCAGTCAAATTTGAGGTCAAAACCTCACAAACAACCTAGAGTTGTTTTGGAAACATGACCCAGTTTCGCTTACAATCACCAAGAGTGCACTTGTTGCATCAGGCAACCCACTTCAAATTTCATCTCGTTCATTCACTGATCAAGTAACCCTCATCATAGTTATTCTTCTTACTAAGCTCATGGACTACGCCTTTAAACAACAAGAACTATAACTAACTACCCACCTCTGTCTATCCTAATTAGCCTACCAGGCTATAGCGCCCAGGGGAGCCATGCTCCTTGTGATATAGCACTCTCTTAACGGACCGCTGCGTCCCTACGAACCGAG